CACTGATAAAAAAATAGAGCAGAATATAAAAATGATGGAACCCCTGAATAAGCAATATAGGAAAGAAATAGAATCTACGAAACAGGTTCAAAGTGATATACAGGAAATTAAAACCTCAATCACAAGCTAGCAAAACCGTTTGCGTGAAAGTGAAAATAGACTTTCTGACCTGAAAGACACCATTGCAGCTAGTGAAAAAGAAAGAAAAGATCTCTTTAAAATAACTAGGATGCAGGAAAAAATAATTCAATACCTGCAAGATGATGCAAAGGGGAACAATGTGAGACTAATCAAGACAACCTTATAAAACATTTTACAGAAGTCCTGAACAAGGGCAAGACAGGATAAAGTGATATTTTAGGAAAATTAGTATCCTTACAGATGGAGAGATTTTGAGATTAATGTAAAAGCATTTATGTAAAATGAGTCTATCATAAAGTGGGTGGTTTATGCAATGGACAGAAAGAGACAGAGAACCTTGAACTGATAGACAGCTAACATAATGTTTAGGAACCTGGTGCTCGGACTTGCTAAATGAGCTTTTTGATCCCTGCAAGACAATGTATGGTCCCTCCAAATGTCAGAAGTAAAGACTGAGGCAAATTTGTTACCAACACATATGCTAGCATGGGATCGATGTATAATCTGAAAAGTACAATAAAATACAAAGCGTAAAATACATAACCTCAAAACTTACCTTCCGTGTAGTCAACGTTCTAAGGCCTGCTACTTCTATACAGAAATAAAATTCCTTAGAACAGTCAACGAATGCTTGTTAAAATGAGGTATGATAAAAACATAGAACATTAAATTTTTTTTAAAATGTACTACAGTAAAAAACATGTTGCTATTAATTTCCCTCAAAATATTTTTCCTAGCTTTGAACACACTTATTTGATCATTCTGGCCACTTTCTGAAGCACCTGTGTAAGTCACCGTCTATGTTTTTGGCTGTGCTGTGGCAGCTGCCTCAGGATCTGTTCTGAATCCACTGAAAATACTCACCTTAAG